GGGGATGTCCTTGGGGAACGCCGAGAGGCCGGCGTTGAGGCTGGGCCTCCACCCGGCCTGGTAGAGCTCGTTGATCATGTCGACGTGGATCAGCTCGCCGGTGGCATGCCAGATCTTGACGCCGTTTTCGACGCGCAGCCGCGGGCTGAGGGTGGCGGTGAGGATAAAGTGGCCGTCGGGGCTCCACTGGCACACGGAGCTGTTGGAGGCGTCCATGGAGAAGAGCTTGCCCTTGGCGAGGTTGTCGCGGTCCCAGATGTCGACGGTGCCCGACAGGTTGCCGAAGCCGGCGATGCAAAACAGCCGCCCCTGCGGGTTGAAGGCGACAAAGTTGCGCGGCTGGGTGCCCAGCTCCTGGATGACGTTGACGCGGTGCGAAAAGAGCGTGGCCTTGGCGGGCATGTAGCCGTAGATGACGATAAACTCCTTTCCGTTGGGGTTCCACTCAAAGTCGTGGATGGGGCCCTCCTTGTCGAGGCCGACGCGGCAGTCGAAGTCGCCGCGCACCGACATCATGTAGAGGTTGGTCTCGCCGTAGTACGACTTGCCCGTCTTGTCGTGGTCGGTCGACGTCATAAAGAGCAGGCCGGTGCCGGCCTTGTTCCACTTCATCTGGATCTTGTCGGCCTTGAAAAACGTCTTTTGCGACACGGGCGCCGGCGTGTCGGCGGGCGTGGGGACGAGGGCCGAGAGCGGGTAGATGCGCACCGAGGCCGGCGCGCCCTTTTTCTCGCCGCAGAAGACGGCGATGCTGGGCTTGTCGCCGGGGCCCACCTCGAAGCTGGTCATGCCCTCCAATCTCAGCCGGCCGACGATGCCCTTTTCGCTGATGGCGCGCGGGTCGTAGACCTGGAGCTCGGTGCTGACCTGGCGGATGCAGTACGACTCGTTGGCGGTGAACTGGAAGAAGCAGCCCTCCTGGGCCTTGCGCTCGAAGCTGGCGAGCTCCTGGCCCGTCTCGGTGTCCCAGATCTTGAGGTTCTTTGACCCGCTGCCGTCTTCGAGCTTGACGGGCCGCTCAAACGTGCTGAGGAAGCTGCCTTTTGGCGAAAACTGGAGGTCGACGACGCGCGGCACGGGCAGGTCGCGCTTGACGGCCGACACGTTGGCCTCGCGCGTGTCTACGAGGCGGGTAAACTCCTCCATGGCGGCGGCAAACGTGCTGCCATCAGGACTGTACTGGAACACTCTTGTGGTCCCCTCGACCTGGTCAAAGCCGCTGACAGACGTGTAGGTGGGCGAGCCGGTGTTGAGGCCAATGGACTTTTGCGCCCGGTCTGTCGTCGAGAGGCGAGGAGCGAGGCGAGGAGAGGCAGGAAGAAGAAGGTAGATCTCGGCCGTCAGCATGCAGCCAAGGGGGCAAGGGGGAAGGCATCATTCTGCGGCGACTGCCCCGGGGGCAGGGCCAGGGAGCGACTCACAGGCCCACTGAGTGGCGGCGTCATTTTGCTGCTCGGGCTGTGATGGGGCGGCCATTTTGGGAGCGAGACGGTGACCGGAGGCAAGGCAAGAAGGGTGGTGCAGGGTAGGATGCGAGTCCTGTTCGCCGAAGAGCAAGGCTGAAAGGTATCGGGGCCTGGAGGGTAGGAGGCAGAAAAGCAAATGCTAGTTTTGCGTCGAAAGCAGAGGAAGGGACCAGTCAAGGCGTTCCTCAATATTGGGGGCGGCGGCGGCGGCGGCGGCGGTGGTGGTCAGAGCAGCAGCAGCGAGGTGCGAGCTATGTCGGTGCTGAGCGACGCTGGTGGTCGATGCGAGACGAAGCGCCAGGCAATGCAAGCGGACGGCTAGAACGACGGAAGCGGTGGTGGCTGCGTCGAGCAAACAGGAGCGGCGTCGTCGAGCGATGATCAACAACCTCTCTCCAAAAGAATCGGTCGAGATGAGGTGAAGAGAGAGAGAGGGGAACGGCGGGCGCAAGCGCAGGTGTGTGCGGGTGTGAAGACGCCGAGAGACGGAGCTGAAGCGGACGCCGGGACGGGGGCGGAAGGGGTTTACAGCAGAGTAGACGGATACGAAGGAATGGAAGGTGATGGTCACCAACGCCCGTCAGGCTCGACTGGTGCTGCGCAGGCAGGCCTCTCTCTCTCTGGCTGGCAGATGGAAGCCCGCCCCCCCCCCCCGAGGCCAGACCGGCAGGCAAAGGCCAGGGCCAGGCAGGCTGGAAATTTGGATGGGCCCTCGCCTCGCCTCTCTTCGCCGCCGCCGCTCGCCTCCGCCAGGGTTTCTGTTCCTCCAGCCCCGCCGACTCACCAGCCACAAATCCTCGCCCGCACCCCGATCACGTTGAGCCGCACGAGAAGCAAGTTGCAGTGCCGTCCCCCCCTCACGAGTCGCCTTTCCATTCAAGAATTCACATGAAGGGCAAGATCACGTGATGAGGCAAGATGGCCGAGTGGTCTAAGGCGTAGCATTAAGGAAGATACCTCGCACTGAGCGAGGGGCTCTGCTATCTTCGGGCGTGGGTTCGAATCCCACTCTTGTCACAATCTCTTTTTTTTTTTGGCTGCTTCCGTTTCCGAACTCGAGGCCGAGGGTCGGCTTGGGTTTGCCACGCTGACCGGGGGCAGAGGAATGTTGTACAAGGGAAGGAGATGATGGTGGTGGGTCACACCGGATGCTCTTGTTCCTCCCTTTGACATGTGATTATGCTACTACTGTTACAAGCCTGTTGGGGCGGGGCGGGCTCAAGGCCGGGGCGCTCCTCTCCATCCGCTACGTCGCCATAGCCTCTGCATCGGCAGGTGGTGATGGTGGTGCGGACGCGGCGACATCGTCGGGCTGCTGCTGCTGCTGCTGCTGCTGCTGCTTCTTCTGGCGCTGCTGCTCGCGCTGCTGCTGTTCGAGCTGCTGCCTCTCCTTGGCCTCGAGGGCGGCGAGGAGCTCCTCGACCTCCTGGTCACCGAGGACGAAACCGTGACCGAGGGTATTGCGGAAGAGGCCGTCCGGGTCGACTTGCTTCTTGAGCCGCATCAGGCGGCGGAAGTTGCGCGGTCCATACGCGCCCACCACGCGCTCCAGGCGCTCCGACCGACCCAGGAAGCACGGGTAGGGACCGCCGATGCTCACCTTGGATACAATCTCGCTCAGCCAGCGCTCGACGCTCTGGATGCACTTTTGATCCTCGGCCTGCCCGCTCCACTGCTGCAGCGACCCGACGGTAAACTTGGCCGAGCGCGCCACCGAAGAGATGCACGTCTCGTCCTCCCCGACGTCCTCGACCGCCCCGCCCAGCAGCTCAAACAGCCAAACGGCCCGGCTGCCCAGGCCCTGGAAGCTGCGGACGCTCTGCGAAATCATCTCGTCGGTCAAGGTGCTGATCAGGTCGCCCCGGATCATCCAGCGCCGTCCCGAGCCGCCCTTGAGCACCTTGGCCACGCCGTCCTGCTGGTTGAGGAAGCTGCGCTCCTCGACGTCCTTGAGCAGCGTACGCTCGCCCGACCAGCTGCTGATGGCCTGCACCAGCGCCTCGCCCTCGCTCTTGGGGCCCAGGAAGCAGATCTGGATCACAATGACGTGCGACGTCTTGCTCGGACCCGCCGTCAGGATCAGGTTCGAGTAGAACGCCCTCGGCAGCCCGGCCTTGAGGCAGTCGCGCCAGTGCCGGATCAGCGACCCCGCCGTCGCCGGATTGAGCGGATAGATGAGGTTGCCCGAGTAGACCGACGGCACCGGGTACGCTTTGGCCACGATCCGCGAGACGACGCCAAAGCAGGGCGCGGCGCCACGGACCGCCCACCAGAGCTCTGCAGGGGGGTTCGACGGCCAGGCAGTGGAGGCACGCATGTCATCGGTCAGCGGCCATTTCCGTGTCGCATCGTATCGTCCGCGCATCGCGCCTCTCTGCTCACCTCGCTCCTCGTCGGACTTATGCTTCGAGTCCTCGTTGAGCGTGACGATCCTACCATCTGCGAGCACCATCTCGACCTCGACGACATTGTCCAGAGACAGCCCGTAGGCCCGAGTGAGGTATCCGAATCCGCCCGTCGTCATCGCAGCTGTGGGTTCGGGTCGAGGATGCAGCGCACGGACGCATGTCAGCGGATCCGCACAGCATCTCTCGAGGTCCAGAAGGCGCGGCCGGCAACTCACTGGATCCCACGGGGTAGGCCGACACCGGCACGTGGTAGGGCACGCCGTTGATGACAAACGTCTTGGCCGGGGCGGCGTCCATGCGCTGCTTGCCCTTGTCAAGGGCGGCCGGGTCGCCCTCATCGGCCGCAAAGCTGCCCTCCCGGCCGGCCTTGTCCGTAAAGGCGTCGAGCCCTCGGATGCCCGCGCCAGGGCCTAGCGAGACGAGCGCGTACTTGTCCTCGTACACGCCCGGCGGCAGGATGGCGGCAGCTGCGGACGGTGGCACCGTGGCCCGCCCGGCAAAGCTGTACGGGTTGGCGGCGTCGCTTTCCAGGATCGTCGGCGAAATCCGGCTGCCCGTGTGCAGGGGCGACGGCATGAAGCGGGCGTACGACGGGCCCGGCTCGGCATCGTCGGAAGCGCCACCGCCGCCGTTGGCAGCTTCGGCGTTGTGCGCCCAGATGTTTGATGGCCAAGCATCCTGCAGGTCCGCGAGGCTGTTGGCGGCAAACGAAGGCGGGTACTGTTGCTGCTGGTGCTGCTGATGCGGCTGCACGTCGAGGCTCGTCGGATCAAACGTGAGCTTGCCCGAGGTCTGCACGTTGTACGATGGGCCCTGATTGACGCTGTCGTGGCTGGCTGCAAAAGCCGCCGAGTCCCAGGGCAGCTGGCCCGGCACGACGTTGTTGCTCGACGTCACCTGGCCGTCGCTGCGCCACACAAAGCCCCCAGCCGGCAGGTTGATTCGATCCCCGGGCGCGCCCTCGGGCCGATGGTGCTTCTGCCACCGCTTGTGCTCGTAGCTCGAGTTGGGATCCCAGTCGTCCGGCGTCTGGCTTTGAGAGGAGCCCTGCCGGCCCCGGCCCGAGGACCCGGAGCTGGAAGCAGCAACCGAACCAGCGCGGGACGCCGCACGCGGGCTGTTGCCATCAATCGCCATCGGACTCGCGGACCTCTCTCCAGACACATCGTCCGAGGGCCGGCGTGGCTGCTGTAGCATCGACCGTGGCGAAGGGTTGCTCGTAAACGGGAACGAGTCCTTGGCCGAGTCGCTGTGCGAATGGTTGGATCGTGGGACCGAGGTGGAGCTCGACGCCTGGTTCGACGAGTGCATGCTGCCGCTTCCGGAGCCAGAGCCGGAGCCGCTGCCGGAGCCGCTGGGGGAGGCGGAACCGGTGCCGCGCGGATGGATCTGGCGGTCGACCCAGGTGACGGGCGGCCGATTGCCGGCACCGTCCCTGCCAAGGTCGAGCTTCAGCGCCTGATCGCGCGGGGCCGAGCCGGTCATGTAGCCGTTGGAGGTGTCGTCGGTGCTAATCTCTTGGGCATGATCGCGAGGGTGCGAGTCCGGCACGTTGGGCGAGGGCTGCCTCGTGTCATGGGCGCCCGAGCGCTCCGAAGAGCTCTCGCTGTCGGCATCTGCGCCGCTCTCACAGCTTGGACCCTTTTGCATCAGGGTCGCAATCGCCGAACCGGAGCCAGCACCCTCCTGCTGCTGCGAGAAAGGCGTCTGACCGGAGCTGGCGCCGACATCCTCGGTGCGGCGCCGGATGAGCGCCGGCGACCTCTGCGTCGAGGCAGAACCGCCGTCGACGGCCCCATCGGGATGTCCGTCGGTGAATGCCTCATCGGCCTTGCGCACCCGGGCGCCCGAGAATCGCCTCCCGTGCTCGTCCTGCTGGCCGTTGGCGTTGGCCTGGAGGCGTGAGAGATCCTCTGTGAATGTCGCGGCGCGGGTGTCGTGGATCTGTCGGTGTGCGGCGGTGTCTACGTCTGCCACCGAGTCGGTCGAGAAGGTGACGGTGGCGCCGTCGACCGCGGCGTCGATGCTCGGGTGCGACGTCGAGGTGCCGGCGGCAACTGCTTCTTCCGCTCCTGTCGCTGCTGCTGCATCAGAGGATGAGGCGTGCGGCACCAATGCAGGCTTCCTGGGAAGCGTGAGCCTGACGTCGTCCATGAGGCGGGTGTCGATGATGAGCTCGCCCTGGATGGCCCAGCCTGCGGTGGCGAAGCCGCCGGAGCGGATCGAGGGCGAAAGCGAGTGCCTGCGGCAGAACTTGATCAGGGTCGAGATGTCGTGGGCCGAGGTGGGGAGGGCCACGAGCCAGCCGCCGAGGGGAGCGGCATCGTTGAAGATGCGCACGCTGCGGGCAAAGAGGGCCTCGCCACGCACGGCAAGCTGTCCGGGGAACTCGCGGGCGAGCTCGAGCTTGAGGGCCTTGAAGCGCTCGGTCTGGGCCGAGAGCTTTTCGGGGCTGAGGGAGGCGTGAGTGGGGATGTCGTAGGGGGTGGTCTGCAGCTTTGGATCCTGCCTCATGGCGGGTATGGTGTGAGTGCCGGGGTGCGTGGCCGGCGAAGTGATCAAGCGGATGACGACGGCGCGGAGGCGAGTCCAAGGCGAAGGCGGAAGGGCGCCGACAATGCGAAAGGGGGTTGCAGAATGGTGCAGGAGGGTTGCGTGGGAGGGCAGGTGACCGGCAGAATGGCGAACGAGGTCGAAGGTCGATGCAGTGGTGAGGCGAGCGGGGCCGGAGCGGGGGGTGCGAGCCTGAACAGATCAAGAGCGGGCTTGGAAGAGGTTCAGGCTCGACGACGAGTCGGATCGGGCGGGCTGAGGCGGTGCGTCGCTCAAGCTGGGCGAGGGCGTCGCAAGGGCGTCAAGAGGCGGGTGAGGGTGAAGGCGGTGCGGGGGTGGTTGCGGGTGCTTCGCCCGATGTGGCGTTGGCTCGAGGATGGCGGTGGGTGACGGGTGGCGAGCGACTGTTGCGCCTGTCGAAGTGGATGAAGATGGCGGATGTTGGGATCAAGCGGTGGCGATGGAGAGGGTGGCTGTGTGTGAGATGGTGTTGGAGTCGGGTTGGATTGCGAGGGAAGTGGGCCTACTGTAACTACCGAATCGATGGCGGTTCCAAACGCGGGCGACAAAAGGAGGCCGAGGCGAAGGCGGAGGCCAAGACGGCTAACGTGTGGCTGCGCTCAAAGACAGAGGGAGAGAGAAGAGAGAGAGCGGGCACAGGCAGGCGGCAAGCAGCATGAGCCGACTGACCGAGAGAGAGACTGAGAGAGAACGCAGCCCCAGCCCGGCTGAGAAGGCAGGCAAGCAAGCTGCAGGCAGGCAGGCAGGCCTGCTGACGAGGGCTCTCCTCTCGCCCGCGGCTGTTCCTCGATGGCGGGCGGCGGCCTCTCTTCCACCGGCCCTTTGCCGCGTGCCTCGAAACGGCAAACCAAAAGCCCTGCGCCACCTGGACTTCGCCGCCCACCGTCCGCCGTCCGCCTGGCCGGAAAGAATCGGATCGCCTGCCCCTCCGATTCTTGCTCAGAGTCACCGCTGCCTCAGCTTGCTTGCTTGCTGGCGGACCCCTACGGTTGGGTAGGCGTGTGGCGGCTTGACTCGACTCGACCCGCCTTCTCTAGACCGGGAGCTGAGACAAGCGCCTCGAACCATGGCATGGCAGATGGCATCCGCCAAACTGGGCCTGCCTGCCCTGCTTTCTGGTTTCAGCGACGAGGGCCAGTCGCCGGCCTAGCCTAGCCTGCCTGTTGCTTTCGATCCCCAGCTCCGAGTTTAAACAGCAGGCAGGCAGGCATGGGCGAGCGGGCGAAGGGAGGGGGGCGCAGCGGCAGGCCAGACAGAGGACAGGGTTTGGCGCACGTCATCATGGCACCACGAGCAAAGGCCCAGAGTGGTAGGCCAAGTGACCTCATCCCGCCCTGCTCACCGGACTAGGCCGATCCAGGTCTTTATCGGATAGCATCGGCAGCACTTCACCCGATCGGACTCGCACGTCCCTTGATCGGTGCCGAAGGGCGAGCGCCCGCGCCCCCACCCCCCGAGCTTCTGCAACCAGCTTGTCCTGCTGGCGCTTTGGGCACGGGCTCGCCTGCGGGTGGCTTGGCGTCGGCCTGACGGGAGGTTCCACCTCGACCCTGGTTCGGCCTTTCCACACCTCCTGCTTCCTCTCCATCAAGCCGCACTTGCTTCCGCCCTCGTCCTCGCCCTCGCTCGCCTCGTCCTCACCGCTCGCTGTGCAAGCAGCCTGGCGCAGCCCAAGCACCTCGTCGTCCATTCGTCCTCGCCGTCGTCGTCGTCGTCGTCGTTTATCGTCACCGCCGTCCCTCGCATCTCTTAGCCCTGGAGGCTCCTGTCCCTTTGTCCATCTCGCCCTGCCAGATTACGTCGCTCCAGATCAAAGGTCAGCAACGCTACAGCTATCACACTCGCCGCCGCCGTCGCTCCCCTGTCGCCCCCGCCATGAAGTCGCTCGCCACGCTCTACGCCCTCGTGGCGCTCCTGCTCGCCGTCGCCTCTCAGTCGGCCTGGGCGCAGCAGAAAAAGATCCAGCAGCGTGAGATGGACTCCGAGGCCATTGTGCCCCTCCGCACCCACACCGTCTACGCCCCCTACGTCGACAGCAACCTGCAGAACAAGTTCTGGGACTTTGGCGGCGACACCATCATCGACACGACCAAGTCGATCCGCCTCACCCAGGACCGCCCGCACGAGATGGGCTGGTTCTGGTCGCGCCTCCCCATCACCGCGGAGAGCATGGAGATCATCGTCGAGCTCAACGTCGACGGCCACTCCAACAACCTCGCCGGCGACGGCATGGCCATGTGGCTCACCCAGGAGCGCGCCAAGCCCGGCCCCGTCTTTGGCAGCATGAACTACTTTACCGGCCTCGGCATCTTCTTCGACACCTACCCAAACGCCCGCCACCCCTACCACTTCCCGCGCATCTCGGTCATGAACGGAAACGGCGTCGAGGCCTACGAAAACGCCCGCGACGGCGCACGCCAGGAGGTGGCCGGCTGCTCAATCGACTTCCGCCGCACCAAAGTGGCCACGCGCGCCAAGTTCACCCACATCAAAAACGTCTATACCTCGCTCGAGATCCAGCACGACGAGTGGGATCACTGGGACATGTGCTTCAAGGTCGACAACATCACGCTGCCCCTCAACCCGTACCTCGGCTTCACGGCCCTCACGGGCGACGTCAGCGACGCCCACGAGATTGGCTCGATCCAGACGTCCAACATCATGTTTAAGCCCAAGAACGCAGAGGAGCTCGCCGCCTTCAAGGCAAAGCACTTTTTCACCCCGGACCCCTCGGCGGCCGGCGGTGCAGGGTCCGGCTTCAGCATCGGCGGCTTCTTTGCGGGCCTCTTTGGCTTCGCCTTCACCCTGGTCAAGTGGGGCCTCGTCCTCGCCGTCATCGCCGCCCTCGTCCTCGTGGGCCTCAAGTACCAGAAGCGGCAAAACGTGAGCATCGCGCCCCGAACCAGACTTGACCTGCATCGCGTTGGATCCCCCGACTGACGCCGCCCGGCCTCCTTTTTCCATCCCCCTCCCCCGCCCGCGCCCTTGTTTTTCGGACCTGCCCTCGGTCGTCGATTCCAGGCGAAACGGTTCTAGCTCTGCGGCAGAGCACTCGGACGCTGGCCGTGCGCACAGACTCGCTGCGCTTCGTTTCGCTTCGCTTCGCTTCGACACGGTCCCGTCCGGTCCGCCCTGGATCGGTTCGGTCGGTCGGCTCGCGCACCGTGTGGAATCCCAAAAGTCATCCTGCTTGCCACCACTATCGGGGCGCGTTGTATGCCATCTCGTGCCTCAACGACGATGGCGAGAGCGGCGTGGACGAATCGACCGAGGTAGAGGCTCGAGGTGGGTGTGAGTTGAAGTCGAGTCGAGTCGAGTCGAGTCGGGTCGAGTCGCCTCGAGTCCAGTTTAAGGGCTGGCAGGCCGGCCGGGCGACGGACTCAGGACCCGTTCTGGAGTTCACGATCGAGGAGGTGCTGGAACGTGGGTAGGTCGAGGGAGAGTGTGAGGCCGCGGCCTTCTGGCGTGTGTTTGTGCGGAAACTGCACCGTCAGCGACGAGGGGAGCGAGATGCTGGCGACGGCGATGCACCTTTGTTGGTCGTCGTCGGTCGTCGGTGGCCGTTGTTGGTCGTTGTTGTTGTCGTGGTGGTGGTGGTGGTGGTGGTGGTGGTGGTGGTGGTGGTGGAGGATATCAGCGGGCAGCTCGATAATTGAACGTGATCCGAGGGAGATGAGAGGGGGCGACGGGGGACATACCTCTCCGCAACAAAGACAGCCGCACGTCCATCGACGCCCAGATCCGCACCGACGTGACGTTGGCTCCACTCTGCCTCGCCACCGGTTCCACCACCACCGTTGCTGCCGTCTAGAGAAGGCGGTGGTGCACCGCCCTGTGCTGCGTGGCCCAGGCCCAGGCCCATACCGGCCATCCATCCGGCCTGTAGAGCAGAACCGGACCCGGAACGCAGCTGAAAGACGACGTCAGGCCGGAACGCCTCGCGGACCCGGTGGCTCTGGCCGCGTTCGACGAGCGTCGATAGCCACTCTGGCAGCTGGCCCGCGCCGATGCTCGATAGCGCCGAAAACGTGTACCTCGCCTCCTCTCGTCGTCGTGACCCTGTCTGGCCGTTGCGTTGCGATGCGTTGAATCGTGAGATGCTCGAGGAGAGGACCATGTCGAGTCGATAGACGAACTGAGATCGCCGCAATGGTGGGAAAAGGGGGAGGTGGGGTGGGATGAGGTTGTCGAGGTAGGTAGGCGGCGTCGATGTGAGTATGCGTCAGTCGACTTGTTCTTCCCACCGGACCGACAGGCCAGCCCTTCCCAGACCACGTCCGCTCCGCCCCGCAACTCACCGAAGCATAGTGCAGGATGGAAAAAATCGGACCGAGGATGTTGAGCTTGTACACCGACTCGGCCGCTGCGACGGCGCTCTCGTGCGCCTTGTCGGCCTGATCTTCCCCATTCCCGCCCCCCGGCTGCTGCTGCTGCTTGGCAGAGACACCGCCGGCACTCGACGTACCCCTGCCCCGCGGCACGGCGAGCGTCTGGGCGCGCAGCGCCTGCGCCTTTGCAAAGACGTCGCCCGTCCTCGCCTCGTGCGCGCCCTCGCGGCGACCGAGGTGCTTGCGCAGCGGCGCGAACCGCGCAAACGCCAGCGCCATCGACGCAAACGGCGAGTATCCCGCCGTCGCCTCGGCCTCGGCCTCGACTTCTTCCTTGCCCTCTGCCCCGTCTTTCCCTTGGCCGCCGCCGCCATCGGCTTGGTCGTCGGACGACGCTGCCGCTGCCGCTGCCGGTTCGACCAGCTCAAAGACGAGATCGAGCTCCGGCGTCACTTCGATGCTGACGCTCTTGCTCGTCAGCCGCACGTCGAACGCGCTGCCGAGCGCCCGCGACTGGTGCACAATGTCGCGGAAGATTTCCTCGTCGGCAAACTCCTGCTGCGCCGCCTGGAGCTCCCGGTCCAGCACCTCGCCGAGCGAAGCCGCCTCGACGCCCGTGGCCTTGTCGTCGCCGGTAGCGGCAGGGCGGTCGCTGGTCCAGATCGCCTGCTTGATCTGGTCGTCGCCGCCAGCACCGTCATCGTCGCACGCCAGCTGGAGGACGAACTTGGCCCGCAGGCGCTTCTTGGGACGGTACGGAAAGACGAGCTTGTCCTGCGACTCGACGGCCTTGTCGTCCTCCGCTTTCATCCTAGCGCCGCCCTCGTCGGCCTCTGCCAGCGCGTCGGCCCAGTAGGCCAGGGTGCGGCGCCGCTGCTGCACCGACGCCTCAGGGGCGCCAAAGCCGACCCAGACATCGCGCGCGCCCTCCTCTTTGATCTTGCCCTGGCTGTAGATCGGTGTGCCGAAGCCGCGCAGTCCCGGGTACGGGTCGGGGTCGTTTGGCTGGGCGGCACCGTACTGGTCGTTGAGCGGCCTCCCTGGCGTCAGACCCCACCCTCGCTGCTTGAGCTCCCTCAGGCCGCGCCACCGTTCGCGCTCGGGGCCCTGGGACGCTCTGAGCTCCTTGGCGCCCGTCCGCAGGATCTCAGCCGCGCTGAGCAGGCTGGAGCGCTTCTGGGCGAGGCAGACCTTGCGGTCAAACAGCCGCTGGGCCTCGTTGGACGAGGCGTCGCGCATGGCCGCCCGGATGGCCTTTTCGTCGTCGTCGAGGTCCTCGTCGTCGTCGTCCTCGTCGGCGTCGGCCCGGTCGGCAGGCTCGGCGAGCTTGACCCTGCTGACGCCGATCGAGAGCGGGTCCAGGACAAAGTCGTCGCCCGTCCCGCGTGGCTGAGCTGCCGTCGCGGTGGCCGAGGCGGACCCCGAGAGCGCGCTGGGTGCCGGGCTGGATGCCCTACCGGCGAGGAGCGACGAGACGTTCGAGGCAGGGGCCGTCCTGTACGCCTTGAGCAGCATGCCAATGAGCTGATGGGCGTGGATCGAGGTGACGTGGGCGTGGTCGAGGCGGCCGAGCATCTCGGTCCAGAGCGGGGTAAAGACGTGCTCCTCGATGAACTTGCCGCGCACGCCTTCCTGATCAGCTTGGGTAGCCGTGGCTGCGTCCGGCTGGGGGCCTTGCTTCTTGGTCGCGATCTCCTCGTTGTGCGCGTCGTTGCTGCTCTGGCTGTCGTCTTCGTCGTCGCTGGCCGAGGACAGGTAGCTGGGTGCGTCTCGTTCGTACGAGGGCGATCTGTGCCTCGGCGTCGTGTCGTCGGAAGAGGGGTGGGTTTCGGGCGACGGCTTGCGGAATCGCTTCTGGCCGGCGGTGCGGGCGAGTGCTGCGACGCTGAACTTTGAGAAGTCGCCGCGCTCTGCCCAGAGGCGGTTGACCTTGGCCTGGAGCTCCAGCGACGAGGGCTGTGGGCTGATGGTTGCGGAGGGGTGGGTAGAGAGCGAAGGACACAGTTTCGAGGGTTAGGGATCGATACTGGCTGCGTCGATCTGTGAAGCGGCAGGGGCAAAGCAAGCTCGGACTCACGTTTCAAAGGTGGGCTGACCGGCGGGCGAGATGTCTACGAGCTTGGGCTCCCTCTGAAAGTCTTGGAGCCACTTTCTGCCGGCGCCTGCACCGGCGTGCGAGTCCTTGAGGGATGATGGGTGCTGATGCTGCGGGTCCTGGTCGGCCGAATAGACGATGACGGGCTGAATGCTGAGGGCGACGGCATCGTCGGATTGGGCGGCCGGGTCGGCGGGTGGCTCGGGAGCTGGCTGCGTCATGGTGGAAGCAGAGGCGGCATGGAGCAGGGGCGTTACGGCGCCGAGTCGAGGTGCAAGGCAAGGTGAGGCGGAGATGGCGCTCGAATGCAGCGGTGGGCCCTGAGGATGGGTGACGGTGTCGAGGACGAGGAGGAGGAGAGTTAAACGTGGTGCCAACTCAAACTCTTCTGATTGCTGGCCGTTGGCTGGCACCGCACCTTTGCCCGTCTTGGGCCCGCGTCTGTGCGGGGACCCTGCTCCACATCGGCCCTGCCTCCGTCTCGCTGCCGACGTCGCCCGCCTCGACTGAGCAGCGAACGCAGCCCGCTCCCCATCACGACCCGGGCCACGCCAGACCTTGACGCTACGCCCGACACAAACAGACAGACAGAGCCAGCAGCCATCAACGAGAGCGACATTATGCAGATTCTATCCAGTCTATTCAGTCGATCACACCAAGGCCGCCGGGCGAGGGTCGGGTCCAGGGGGGTCACCGCCGTCGAGCCTAGACGGCCCACTCGCCGCGCATGGCCTCGTTGGCCGCGTCCTCGTCGGCCAGCTTCCGCTCGTACGCCCGCCGCGCCTCGTGCAGCGCAAACGACACGCCCGCAAGCGTCGACAGCAGCGCCAGGTCGTTGACCGACAGCGCCGTCGTCTGGAACACGCCCTGCAGCAGCGGCAGGTACACCATGCACAGCTGCGCAAAGAGCGACACCGACACCGTCAGCCCCAGCATCCGGTTGGCCGTCAGCGGCGTATGCAGACCGCGGTTCTGCACCGCCGACGTCAGGTCCAGCAGCACAAAGCACGTAAACGTCTGCCCGCAGAGCGCCAGGGGTGGGAGGAAAAGGAGCCAAAACGAGCCGGGGAATCAGCAACGAAATCAACAGCGACAACGGTCGGGCACCACCACCACCACGACCACCACCAACTCACCATGGTCGAGTCGCGCTGGTCGGCCACTCCCTGGTTGAGCTCGTGCACGTAGATGTACAGCGTGCCCACCACGATCATGGTCGCCGAAAACGCAATCCGGTAGAGGAGGCGCGTGTTGAGCACCGGCGCGCACTTGGACCGCGGCGGCTTGCGCATCACGCTCTCCCGGTCCACCGGGTCCACGCCGAGCGACTGGCTCGGCGGGCCGTCCATGAGGATATTGATAAACAGGATCTGCATCGCATTGAGCGGCAGCTTCAGCCGGAACGCCGTGCTCAGCGTGATGAGCGTCAGCGCAGCCACGGCCGTGCTCAGCTGGAACGACAGGAAGTTCTGGATGTTGTAGAAGATGCCCTTGCCTGCTCGGTCGTCGTCGCCGGCAAGGGCGTCGTGCGAGTAGAGAGGTCAGTGCAAAGAGGATCAGAGTCATTCGATTTGAACGGAGACATGTTGCCCCGACCCGTGCCTCGTTGATCCGGCACCCACCTTCTTCGACGGCCGAGAGGATCGTCGCAAAGTTGTCGTCGACGAGGATGACGTCGGCGGCCTCTTTGGCCACGTCGGTGCCGCCCTTGCCCATCGAGACGCCAATGTCGGCCATCTTGAGCGCCGGCGCGTCGTTGACGCCGTCTCCCGTCATGGCGACGACGGCGCCGTTGGCCTGGAACGCCGACACGATCGACATCTTGTGCCGCGGCGTCGTGCGGGCAAACACCGAGACGCTGCCGATGCGCTCGCGCAGCTGGCGCTCCGACATGGTGTCAATCTGCCGGCCCGTCAGCACCGCGCTGCTCGCCGACGACGACAGGATGCCCAGCTGCGTCGCCATGGCCGTCGCCGTGCTCTCCGAGTCGCCGGTGATCATGACGACCTGCACGCTACCCCTCGCCAGCGCAGAGATGGCCTCCTTAACGCCCGGACGCGGCGGGTCCTGCATGGCCTGCAGGCCGCAGAACGTCATGGTGCCCGCCTCGGCGCTGCCAGAGGGGCCCGTGCTCGTGCCGAGCACGCGCAGCCCCTGCTTGGACATGGCGTGGGCGGCCTCGGCCACCTTGCGCTTCCACGACTCGTCGAGCCGCACCGTCTGCCCGTCCGGCCCAAAGATGGTGCTGCTCTTGTCCAGCACCACCTCGAACGCGCCCTTGAGGTAGGTCGTCTCGTGCGCCGGCACGGCCGTCGACAGCACGCCCGTAACGGCCATGTACTTTGTCTCGGAGTTGAAGGCCGTCTCGGCGCTGCGCTTGAAGTAGGGCCGCCGGTCCTCGATGCCAAACAGGCGCAGCACGTTGACCATGGCCACGTCGGTCGCCTGGCCCACGTTGGTTCCGTGCTCGTTGCGATGCGAATTGTTGCAGAGGTTGCCGGCAAGCAGGCACTTGGCCAGTGCCCGGCTCTGCTGGTGCGGGACCGACCTGGACAGGTCGACGGTGCTGTCCTCGGCCGTGTAGCACCGCACCACCGTCATTTCGTTGGACGTCAGCGTGCCCGTCTTGTCCGAGCACACGACCGAGACCGAGCCCAGCGTCTCGACCGAAGGCAGCTTCTTGACAATGGCCTTGCGGTGCGACATGCGCAGCACGCCCAGCGCCAGCGTCACGGTCACCACGATTGGCAGGCCCTCGGGGATCGCAGCCACGGCGAGCGAGACTGCGCGGGAAAGGGGGCCGGGAGCGGTCGGCGCAACGGTGGAAGCAAGAGGCACACAAGGCAGGGCGGAACGATTAGCCTCATCGCCACGACTCGGTCGCATTGGCACTGTCCCAGGCTAATTCCCCTCTCGATCGACGCCACTCACCTCCGATGGTAAACATCTCGAGCCACGGCCTCTGCTGCCAGATGCCAATGAGGCAGATGACGGCGATGACGGCGAAGCTGACCATGCTGAGCTTCTTGGCGAGCTCGTCCATGTTGAGCTGCAGCGGGGTGCGCTTCTCGGCCACCTCGTCGACCATGCTAAAGATCATGCCAAACTCGGTGCGGACGCCCGTGCCGATGACGACGCCGCGGCCGTGGCCCGACTTGACCAGGGTGCCCATGAAGGCGATGTTTTCGCGCTCGTTGATCGACGTCGACGACGAGCCGGCGTCGGCGTCGGCCATGGCGTGGTGCGGGTGCGGGTGGGCGTCGTTGGGGATCGTGTCCGAGTGCTTTTTGCGGGGCTTGATCTCGCCGGTCAGGGTGCTCTCGTCGATCTCGAGCGAGACCGACTGGCAGATGCGCAGGTCGGCGGGGACGCGGTCGCCCGTCGAAAAGGTGACGACGTCGCCGGGCACCAGCTCGTTTGCCAGCACGGTCGAGGTGACGCCGTCGCGGACGAGGTGGCAGTAGTGCGGGACGAGCTTGTTGAGCGCCTCGAGACTCTTTTCCGACTTCTGCTCCTGGTAGAAGCCGACGCTGATGACAATGACGATGGCGACCGTGATGCTGACGGCGTCGTCAATCTGGCCGGTGAGGAGGCTGACGCCGGCGCTGCCCAGCAGCAGCATGATGAGGGGCTCCTGGAACTGGCCGAGGAACTTTTTCCACGGCTGCTCGCCCGGCCGCACGGCAAACTCGTTGTAGCCGCCGGCGCGCCGGCGCGACTCGGCCACCTGGTGGGGCTCGAGGCCGGCATCGAGGGCGCGGCAGCCCAGCGAGGAGAGCGTGTCCTTGACCGAGACGTGAGTATAGTGGGCCGATGGCGATTCGGACGACGTGCTGGAAGGCGAGGGTGCGGCGGCAAAGGGCCCGTCGGAGGCGCGCTGCTTGTGCGTGCCCCGCGTCGGCGGGTACGAGGGCGAGGGCGAAGGTGCGTACGGGTCGTCCGAGATGGGGCCTGAAGGCGGGGGTAGATCAGGCGGAAGCAGGGAGCGTGAGCTATGGGTTGCGCGGCTACGACTTCGATCAGCCACTCGCATCAGAAGGCTCGACAGCGAAGAGCGACGTACCTTTGCGGAGGGTAGTGCTGAAGGCGAACTGGTCCTGGGCGGGCAGCGACGACGAAGGGCCGGCGTCTGCCAGGCCGACGGACGAAGGCCCCGCGTCCTCGACGTACGAGTAGGGTGCGGGCGAGTTTGTGCCCCTGCTGGTGGCGCCGCTGCCCAGACCGTTGGTGGCCAGCGGCCGATAGCGATTCGGCGCGGCCATTGAGCAGGGCGGTCGGCGGGTGGTGGTTGGACCGGGTCGGTTGTCGGTCGTGCCAAGCGAAGCCGAGCTCACCGTCCGTCCGTCCGTCCGACCGTCCGTGAGTCCCACGAGAGGACAGAAAGCTGCAGAGAGAGAGGGTGAAGCGGCGGCAGGCGACGAGGCGAAGCAAGCAGGATGGCGAGGAGCGATAGCAGAGACGATGACGGAGGAAGGAAGGATGGGAGCGGCAGGAACCCGGAGGCCAAGGGTCGAGCGGGCCTCAGGGTCAGGCCAGCCTGTCAAGCAGGGACCAACACTCGCCGCCGTCTTCTTGGCCAGCCGCCCCCCACCACCCCTGCCAACAGGCGGGCCAGCCAACCAGCCAGCCAGCCAGCCAGCCAGCCAGCCAGCCACGCCAGAAACGACAGGCGGGCAGCCCTCAAAATAGAAAAAAAGCGACCCGCGCTCACAGACCACCACTCTGGCTGCCGCCGGCCCGGGCCCAGCCCTGCTGCTGGCGCTTCGACGCACTACTGCACATACACCACCCGACGACGACGACGACGGCGGCGGTCCCGCGCTGCACAGGTCACTGCGCTGGAGGGAGAGTGGATTGACGGTGCGGGGGGGTATCGTAGCAGCGCATGCCACTGCTGGACCCGACTGAGCTGGACTGTAGAATACAATGGATCGGGGGGAAGTGATGGTGGTACACGGAGCGGAGGCCGACGGCCGTCCCTTGTCTTTCCCTCGCTCGTCTGCGGCCGTCGTGGATGCTGCGATCGGACGGGACGGACGGGCGGGCGGCATCAGTCGTCTTCCTTCTTGCGCTTATTGCTGTTCTTGCCGCCCGGGGTGCCGGCCGAGCTGCCTCCGCTGGCCTCGGCCTTGCGCTTGAGCTTCGAAATGAGGCCGGTGCTCGTCGTCTTGCCCGCCTTGCCGCCGGGCGTCGAGACGGCGCTGCTCGCCGAGTCCTTGTCTCTGGCCAGCGGCGTCCCGCTCCGCCGGTCCCGGTCCTCTGACGCGTTGCGGTCCTTTTTGCTCTTCTTCGCCTCCTTTTCCGGCTTGCTGGGCGTGTCGTCCTTGTCCTTGTCCTTGTCCTTGTCCTTGTCCTTCTTGCTGCTGCCACTGCCGCTGCCGCTGCCGCTGCTCTTGTCCTTGTCTTTATCCTTTTCCTTCTCCTTCTCCTTCTTGTCTTCCTTGCCCGCCTCGGCTGCGAGCTCTTCTGCCTTTTTAAGCTCGAGGCTCTTTTGGTAGGTGGCGCTACTGAGGCTAAAGATGCGGTCCTCGAGGGGCACCTCGATGGGGATGCCCTTTGCCGCCGCTGCGGCCGCCGCGCTCTGGCTGCTGGTGTTTTTGAGGTAGGAGTCGAATCCCTTGACAATGTTGCCCCCCGAAGCGGCGGTCGAGGCGAGGTAGGAGGCCTCGTAGAGGTAGATTTGCGATTCGAGGTCGGTCAGCGACTTGTCGATCTGGCGCTTCTGTGCGAGTCCGGCCCGCAGTGCCTTTTTCGTCTGCTGGTAGCGTTGCTGGGCCTCTTCCAGCGATCCGGGCATCTCGGCGGGGTCCGGGGCCGCGGCGACCGCCGAAGTCGAGGGACCTGCGCTCGAAGAGGCGGCGGCACCTGTCGCAGTGGGCGCCATGTCGAAGGTCGATGCGAGGCGGAGGGGGCAGGGGGGCTACCGATGGGGGCGGCGGAAGAAGGGGCTCCACCGATGGAGGCGCTGAGCGTCGCGGTGTGTATCTGGTGCGAGGATGAGTGTTGGCGTGGTTGCGTTGGTGATGGTGGTGGCGGCGGTGGTGGTGGTCGGAGGTGAGAGGTGGACCGAGGGCAGGCAGGGTCCAGATGCAGCCAAGCAAGCTGGCCTTCGAGGGGACTGGCCAGCTACCCTCGGAGCCGAGCGCGCCAACGTCGCTTTGCGCCTGCTTGGCCGTGCGCCAGCAGGCAAGCAGGCAGCCGGCAACGGGCAGTGGGCGGGCGTCTTGGGCAGGCTGCCAGCGGGCGCATCCGTCATGATGGTTGGTGGCCAGCTGCCATCCCAGCGCACCTTCATCGTCACCTCGTCCAACACCCTACCCGCACCATTCCAGCCGCGCTGGCGACGCCCTCCCACGACCATCACCTCATTAACCAGCACTCTTCTTCCTAACGCCATTCAGCAGCCCGTATCGACTACGGACACCGACGAAGAACCAGGCCTGCCTCGCTCCCAGCACTCGCGACGAACCTCGGAAGAAACACCTTCACGACCAGATCCACAGTCTGCCTCTGCCTGCCGACTGCGATCGACCCATCAAAATCGCCACCCAGCGCTACTAACGCGAGAGCTGGACTATCCATCATGCGCGGCCCAACACTCTCGCTCCTGAGCCCCGTGCTCGTCCTCGTCCTCTCGCTCGTCTCGCTCTTGGTGCTGGCACCAACCGGAGCATCAGCAGCCGCCCTCACCACGCTCCTCGAACCGCACGAGCGCTCCTGCTTCTACGCATGGGTGGACAAGGCGGGCGAAAAGGTCGGCTTCTACTTTGCCGTCCAGTCCGGCGGATCCTTTGACGTCGACTACGTCGTCCACGACCCCACCGACAAGATCATCGTCTCTGGCCAAAAGGAGCGCCAGGTCGACATCATCTTTACCGGCAACGAGGTCGGGGAGTACAGCTTCTGCTTTGCAAACGAGATGAGCACATTTGCCGAGAAGCTGGTGAGTGCACCCGGCATGTGTAAAGGCCGATTGCGACAACAGAGGCTCACCGAGCTCTGCACCACACCTTTCCTTCTGCTGCTGCTGCTGCTACTTCTGATATTGCCGTCAAATCCTCGCCCCGTTGCAGATCGACTTCGACATCACCGTCGAGTCGGAACCCCGGTTGGAGCTGCCCATCTCGGCCGCCGCCCTGCTCTCGGAGCACTCGGCGCCGCTCGAGGACTCGATCAGCCAGGTCCAGGAGCGCCTCACGTCCATCACCCGCACCCAGAGGTACTTCCGCGTGCGCGAGAACCGCAACTTTGGCACCGTCCGCAACACTCAGTGAGTCGAGGGACAGCCGTGCAGGGGCGGCCTTGTCCTCCCTCCCCTCCGCGAAAGCTGACCATGTCCATCTCGCCCCCTCTCCTTCGCTCGTCTTCCTCACACTTCTCCTCCCCCGCAGGTCCAAGATCTTCTGGTACAGCATCATCGAGTCGCTCGTTATGATTGGCATCTCGGTCGGCCAGGTCTACATCGTTCGGGCGCTGTTCGAAAAGGGGAGCACCAAGCGGTACCGCGTCTGAGGCGCCGCGCTCGCCTCTACTCACCCACCTCTGCCCGTCGGGGCTCTGGACGGCTCGGCCGCTGGCCTTTGGCAGCTCAGAAGAGGCGCACGACGGGTTCGCTGCTCGCCTGTCTTTATCTCGCACAGCTGTCCTTGTCTCGCACAGCTGTCTACAGGATGCGTCGATCGAAACGGTGCCAAACCCGGCGTTGCCCCGGACGGGGATGCCTGCCTATCTGCCTGCCTGCCTGCCGTCGCGCTGCGCTCATTCCTTCCTCGTCGGTCGGCCCTTCAGCTCTGCCAGTGGAAGCTTGCCTGGGCCTGAGTCTTTTCCTCGCTCTGCTGACTGGCCCCATCGACCCTCGCGCCGTTGACGGTGCGCTCCTCTGAGGTGGACGAGTAGGACGACGACGACGACGACGACGACGACGACGACGAGAAGCTGTTGCTCCAGGAGGAGCTGGTGGTGCTGTTGGCGGCACCCGCACCGGGATCCGCCTGAGCTGGGTGGAACCAGCTGCCAGACGAGGAGCTGTGGGAGCTGGTCGTCTTTGGCTCAGCATCGCCGGCGCTCTGTGACGACGAGCTCGAGGAACGCATCTCGCTGAACGAGAAGCCGAATCCCGAAGCGGCGCCGGTGCCGCCACCGCTACCGCTGCCGGTCTGTCCCTGGCTTCGGTTGGCGAAGAAGGGGTGCGAATCGAAGGCCAGGTCCGGCTTGAAGGAAAAGTCGTGCTGGCTCGATCCGCCCATGGTCGGGTCGGGGGTGGGGGATCGAGAGGGTGCGGCGAGGATGCTCGAGAAGCTGCGAAGGGCCGAGGGCGCGAGGAGAGGAGATTCCACCCGCAAGCTGTCAGATCCGAGACGGTGCCCCAGGCCAGGCGGGGAGAGAGTAGGAAGCGCGAGGATCGCTGCGGGGAGAGAGGGAGAGACGTACATGGCAGGTGAAGTCTGGTGCTTGGGTGTGCCACAGCAGCTATCGTGGCAGGACATTTCGATACCTCGAAGTCGGGCTGCGGGTCTTGTGTGCGGCTCAATCAGGTCGTACGAGGAGAAGGAAAGCGACGCAGGGACGGCGATGATGGCCGCAGAGACGAAGCGGGAGGGAGTGGACAAGGAGGTGTGAGAAAAGGGCGTCGACGTCGGTAGCAGCCAGACCAAGGGGAGAAGAGAGAAGGGGTGGCGTCGTTTGTCGGTCGGCAAGTGGGGGTACGTCGGCGGCCCCTTTCGCCGGCGCTCAGGCCAGCATGAGGGCGCAGCAGCACCGCCGTCTCGCCCACCTCTGGGCGCACTGGCCTCGAGCGCCTCACAGAAACGACACGCGGCAGAGGACGAGAAGCATGCATGTGAGAGCAGCGTTGCGGAGTGCGTGCGGTGTTGTACAGGTTGACGAGTCGGAAGAAGGAAAAGGAAAGGCGAGCTAAGGACCACCTGCGGCAGGTAAAGGCCAGCAAGGAGGGAGCGCAGCAGGGTGGCCGCTACGAGGCGGGGTTAGTCAAAGGCGCCAGGACGGTTGTTGAGCCGGTCGGTTCTTCGCTGGTTGGTCCACGCCTTCTTGCACTCGCGGCTGCAAGGATGGGCGAGCCAGACGGCCGTCGGATGAAAGGAAAGGAGCGAGGAGCGAGGTAGAGCCAAGCGCATGGCATAGGGTCAGCAGTGCCCGGGTCGTCGCCACCGCCTCGGTCCGAGAGCGCCGGAGGGCTGCCCTGCTAGAACGCCAGCGTGCAGCAACTCACTACTGGTTAAAGACCTCTCCGCACTTTGTGCGGTCGTAGTTGTTGTCGTCGAGGCACTTCATCGACTGCTTTGCCGCCTTGGCGCAGGGGTCGGTAAACTTGCTGGGCGTCTTGCCGCCCATGACCTTGACAAAGTCCTCGGGCTTCGAGTAGTCGTCCGGCTGCTGTGGCGGCTGCGACGATGACATGGTGGGGGAAGTAGGGTTGGTGGTGATGAGATTGTTGAGGATGGGCCGACAAGCGAAGAGGTGCGCCGGAGCGTAGGGAGAACCGAGAGGGTGGCGGCGAGGATGGTGGTGGTGGTGGCGGCAGCGGCCAGAAGGAAGCCGCCGACCCCCGCGCCCGCCGCCATGTGGTCGACTTCCGTCTTCCGAGCCAGACGGCGGCAGCAGCGGGGAAAAAAAGTTGGGCCAGACAGCGGTTGCGTGCACGGCCACCTCTCCTCTGGGTGCACCGTGGACCTAGCCTGACACCCAACACAATACCACCACCGGCCTCGTCCTTCACCACCATCTTCACCATCCTTCGCATTTCCTTTCCCTCCCCTCACCGCCATGTCCGATCCCAGCGGTAGTGGGCCGTCTTCGACCCACCACCCGCCAGCATCGGCAGCGCCAACCGAACCGCCCCGCGTCTTGTACAGGTTAAGCTACGTCGCATACAAGTGGTGCAAGGCTCTGCGCAACAAGCTCCCTCCCCGCTCCCTCATCATAGACGTCGATCTCCAGCGCCTCGACTACTGCCTAGACCCAAAGAAGTGGCTGCGCCATGAAAGGAATGACGCTCACCAAGCCACCCCGCCCGACTTCGAGCGCCAGGACGATGCCCCGCGCTACCGGGCCACCGAGAGGGACCTCCAGCAGGTCCGCAGGGCCCTCTGGCACCACGACGATCAAGAACAAGGCTCATCAAGCCAATCCGCAGAAAGGGTCGTCACCCTCTGGCTAGGTGAGTTAGGACCAACACGGAGTCGTGCAGCGTCGGTCTGCCAAGCCTGCCTCTAGCCCTGACGACTGACCGGTACTTCCCTTCCCCTTGGCTGGTACGCCCCTGCATCCAGTCCAATCCGGCAAGGAAGGATTCAGCTGCATCGCCATGGCGGAAGACGACGTCTACCGCATCCTCCGCGCCGTCTTCCCGAGGCTCGCTCAGTCGGAAAGCGCCAGCAAGTCGCTTGACGACCTCGTTGCCCGCATCCCGCCGACCGAGACGTTCGAGTGGGCACCTCAGGGTGCTACGGCACCCCTCCATCCCAAAGCGTACCGGCTTCGCTCCGCACCCATCATGAAGCCGCTCCGCGAGCTCGGCGACTTCAAAGCGCTCACCAAGCTCGTCGGAGCGGCCAAAAAGTCGGCCGACGAGCACGACTCAGCCACCCACGGGGCCGCCGAGTTCGAAAAGGTCCAAGACATCTGGTACACGGGCGGCTGCTCCTTTATCGCCATCGACACCGAGTCATGGGAGAAGGGCGAGGCCACCGACCTCATCGAGATCGGCTGGAGCATCATCGAGCGTCCGCATGGCACGCGCGACGAGCGCGGTCCGCCCTTCTGGACGCAAAAGACCGAGCACCGCATGATCTTCGAGTACCTCGGCATGTCCAACGGCCGTTACGTGGCCGACGCGCGCGGCGGCTTCCTCTTTGGCGACGACGCCAAAATCGTCACCGACTCGCCAGGCGGCTTCGTCAAGTCGACGACCACCTGGCTGCCCCGCGTCCGCGTCGACGATGACACCGTCTCGTGGGAGGTCGGCGCCATCTGGCCCAACAAGACCCAGGTGCAGGACATGCAGCATGTTGCTTCGGAGCTCGACGAGACGATCCGCAGGCTCAGGCGCAAGGGCCCCGTCTACGTCGTCTTCCACGACTACTCGGCCGACATCAAGCTGCTGCGCCACCTAGGCCTCTCGACGTCAGGCTGGCAGAGCTTGTGGAACATGGGCGGCTCGGGCAAGAACCCCGGCCGCGCAGACGCCGCGCGCTTCCACCGGGCTGTCGGAGGCGATGAGAGCGACTCTGACGAAGACGATGACAACGACGGCGACGACTACGACGACGCCCCCACCATGCCGGATCTGGGCAAGTCTGAAGACGCCGGCCTCGCACCCGTCGTCGTGCTCGACACGCGCCGCCTGTTTGCCGTGCTCGAGGGCCGCTCGGTCAAGATGGGCACCAAGCTGGGCCGCATGACGTCGGTGCTGACCGACATCGGCCCGGGCTCCGGCGGCGGGGGCATCATTGCCGGCCTGCACAATGCGGCCAACGACGCCTTCTACACCCTCCTCAGCCTCGGCGCCATGGCGTCGGGACCGCCGCTGCTGCAGCACCGCCAGAAGATCCAGAAGAGGATCGATGCGGTCGATGCCAAGCGCGCCAAGGCGCTCGAGCAGAGCAAGAAGGACAAGGAGGCGTGGCAGGCCCAGGGCAAGGCCAAGGCGCAGCCGGGCGACGAGCACAAGAAGCGCAAGCTCGACGAGCAGGCGGCCCACAGCGGCTGGGGTGCCTCCACGACATCGTCGTCGTCGCCGCGCGGCAGCCGGCCCGGCTCGACGAGGCCCGACGGCAGGCGGCCGGATTTTCGGCATGAGGAACAGGCGGTGGCTGAGAGCAGTGCCGACGAACGAGACGACGACCACGATAGCCATGGCGATGCCGCCGAGGCGCGCATGGGCAGGGACGGGGTGTCGTGGCGCCGCCGCGACGACGAGGACCGTCTCGATGCGGCTCCTGGCCGTCGCAGGGACGACGACGGCGCGCCGAGGGAGGCTCCGGACTGGCGGAGAGACGCCACGACGTCGTCCCGCGCCCCACCGCCGCATCTCGAGTCTCGCTCCGCAAGCACCGCTCGGCCTGTTCCTCTTTCCCAACCCGCAGCTGAACCGATCCCCGCACCGATACACACGCACGACCACCAAGCCCAAACAAACGCCCAACCTTACAACAACTACAGCGTCCCCGCCCCTGCGCCAGCACCGGCGCAGGGACCGGCAACCATGTCGCCGGAAGCCGAGCACCGGATCAAGATGCTCGAGATCCAAGTGGCCAACCTGAGCATGCAGCTCGAGGCGCTCACCAATGCCGTTTTGACGACGGCGCGCACCAATGCCGCGCTGACGCAGCTGCAGAGCCTCTTCCCGAGCCACGGCGGCATGTCGAGCGCCTCGTCGTCGATCGCCTCGCCTGCTCCGTCGCTACCCACTCCCCATCCTCCTCTGCCGCCGCCGCCGCCGCCGCGGCAGCAGCAGCAGCGTTCGCCAACTCCCTCCGCATCCACCTTCGAGGCGGCGCACGCATCGCATCCGATCCATGCCTTCGGGCACATCGAGACGGAAACGGAGCAGGACTCCTATTCGGACTCGCCACGAACCTACCCGCGTACCGCCGCGCCTCCCCACCTCATCGGCAAGGTATCCGCCGCTGCCCCGGTGCCCGTGCCGGTGCCCGTGCGACGAGCACTACAAGAGCGACCGTTCACACCGTCCTCGTCGTCGTCGTATGCCCCCTCTTCCTCGCCCTCTTCTCCGGGCGGATCGGGCGCCGAACGTCCTGTTCCCGCCCCCTCCCCCTCTCCCTCGACGGCGACGGCGACGGTGACGGTGGTGCGTAAACCCCTCACTGCTTCGGCGGGTGTGGGACAGGTCAAGACCAAACTGCACCCCGCTTCTTCTCCTCCAGCTACCTCCTCGGCGATCAAGAAGGTATCGAACGACCCTCGACCCGCCAAACCGACGACGAATACGGGCAAGACATCCACCCCAACCGCGCCCATTTCGAATCCGCCCTCGTTCGTAAAGACGGCCGCAGCCGCGTTGAAGTCGACTACCACCACCACCAAATCGAACCCGACGGCCGTGGCGGCCGTCAAGAGCAGGACCAAGTGGCAGCCGACAACTCCTGCGCTGTCCAATGATGAGGCTGAGGCGCATCGACTCTGGAGCTAGACTAGCTAGACGCGCGCCCGTCAGCCCAGCCCAGCCCAGCCCAGCCCCCGCCCTACTTGAGCAGACGGCGACGCCGACGGTGTCTTTTGAGCGCCGATCTTCTCTCTCTTCCGCACAGCCCATAGATGACGACGGCGGCGGCGGCAAGGCAAGTCGCAGCGTAGGAAAAGCGTGCACACGCCTCCAGGGAGTCCCATTTCGGTTCGATTCGGTTTCGGAAGCAGCGGGCATCACATTTTAGATAGGCATCTACACCGTCATCGTCACCGATACTCTTCTCCTCTCTCCTCGTCCCCTCTCCTCCCACTCTTCTGCGCCTCTTCGTCTCCGAGTCCGTCGGACGCCTACGACGACGCCTCCTCCTCCTCAAACAGGACCAGCTCGACGCCCTCTCCGACGAGCTCGCCCCTCTTGGCCTTGGCATTGAGGCTCTTGACCTTGCCGTCCTTGGGGGCGCGGAGCGAGTGCTCCGTCTTCATGGCCTCGAGGACGACGACGACGTCGCCCTGACGCACCACGTCGCCCACCTGGACGCGCACGTCGACGACCTTGCTCGGCATGGGCGACACGACGGCGCCCTTTGCCTCGGACCGGCCCAGCAGCTTGGCCAGCCAGCCGGGCGCCAGCAGCGACAGCGTCGTCTGCTTGCCGCCCAGGAAGAGGTCCAGCTTCTCGGTCGTCGACGTGGCGCGCGAGATGATCGTCGAGCGCAGCCGCGGCGCCGTGCCGTCGCCGCCCTGGCCTTGGCCCGCCGCTGCCGAGACGAGTCCCGAGGTGAGAATCTCCTCGGCCCCGCTGAGGCTGGCCGAAATGTTGCGGTACGTCACCGTCTCGCCCGCCTCAGACGGCGTGATGGCCAGGTCAAAGTGCGACGGCGACAGCGGCGTCACGGTCACGGTGGCCACCTCGGACGATCCCTGCGCCGTCGTGTCGAGCACGTAGCCAAACTGGAAGGTGCGCTGGGCGGGCTGCGACGCCGACAGGCGCACAGAGGAAAACGTCGACGTGTGCCACGGGTTGGCGTTGGCGTTGGCGTTGGCCGAGGTCGAAGCCGGCGCAGCGACAGCAGCAGCAGCAGCAGCAGCAGCAAGGTCGCGGTCGCGCAGGAAGAGGTAGAGGGCCGTCTGGGCCAGCTCGGTGGGCGAGGGGGCCGGGATGGGCGGCTGCAGCTCGTGGCCGTACTTTGGGATAAAGCCCGTCTCGACCTTGCCGGCGACAAAGGCTTCGTGCCGCGCGAGGTTCTTGAGGAACTCGATGTTGGTCATGGGCCCTACGACCTCGTACTCCTCGAGCGCCTTTGTGAGGACGCGCAGCGCCTCGTCGCGATCGCGGCCTTTGACGATGAGCTTGGCAATCATGGGGTCGTAGTGGACCGAGACGTCGTCGCCGGTGTCGAAGCCCGTGTCGACGCGGACGCTGTCCGAGAGCGTGGGCAGTCGGACGTGGCGCAGCGTGCCGACGTCGGGCAGGAAGCCTCCGCGCGTGTTTTCGGCGTAGATGCGCGCCTCAAAGGCGTGGCCGACGAGGGGCATCTGCTGCTGCGTCAGCGGCAGCCGGTTGCCCGCGGCCACCTCGAGCTGCCACTGGACCAGGTCCTGGCCCGAAATCATTTCCGAGACCGGGTGCTCGACCTGGAGGCGCGTGTTCATCTCCATAAAGTAGAAGTCGAGCGTCTCGGCGTCGAGGATGAACTCGACGGTGCCCGCGCCGACGTAGTTGACGGCCTTGGCGGCGGCGACGGCCTTTTCGCCCAGGTCGCGCCGCAGCGCCTCGGGCAGGCCGGGCGCGGGCGCCTCCTCGATAATCTTCTGGTGGCGCCGCTGCACCGAGCAGTCGCGCTCCCACACGTAGACGGCGTCGCCATGCTTGTCGGCAAAGATCTGCACCTCGACGTGGCGCGGTCGCTGCAGGTAGCGCTCCAGCAGGACGTCGGTGTCGCCGAACGACTGTCGAGGGAGAGACGAGGCAACAGCGCGCGGAGAAAGGGGATGCGAGATGGATGTCAGACTCGACTCGATGGGCGACAGCGAGCATGTCGGGCTGGATCGACGTGATGGAGCGACGCGATGGAGCCAAGCGACGCACCTTTTCGGCCTCGCGCCTGGCGCTCATGAGCTGCTCCTCGAACTCTTCCTTGTTCTCGACGACCTTCATTCCTTTGCCTCCGCCGCCCTTGACGGCCTTGATGAGGAGCGGGTAGCCGCACTTTTCGGCCTCTTGCTTGAGCTTTTCGATGCTCTGGTCCCTGCCGTGGTATCCGGGCACGCAGGGTACGCCGGCGGCGAGCATGATTTCCTTGCTGCGGCTCTTGCTGCCCATGCTCTCGATGGCCGAGGCGGGCGGGCCGATGAATTCGATGCCCTCGCTCTCGAGCAGGTTGGCAAAGGCGGCGTTTTCCGAGAGGAAGCCGTAGCCGGGGTGGATCATGGTGGCGCCCGTCTGCTTGGCCACGGCGACGATGCGGTCCATGCGCAGGTACGACTCGGCCGAGGCGGCGGGGCCGATGCAGTAGGCCTCGTCGGCCAGGGCGACGTGCATGCTCTTGGCGTCGGCCTCGGAGTAGACGGCCACCGTCTGGATGCCGAGCGAGCGGCAGGTGCGCATGATGCGGCACGCAATCTCGCCGCGGTTGGCGATGAGGATCTTGCGCGGCAGCGGAAGGTGGCCCAGGCTGCCGGCGCTGCTGCCGCTGCTGCTGCCGCTGCCGGTGCTGCCGCTCGAGAGCGGGTGGTCCGACGCGCCGCTGGCAGACGTCGACGTGTGCGAAGAGAGCGTCGCGAGGCTGGCGGAACGGACCGAAGCCGACGGCACGCTACCGAGAGCCGGAGTGAGGGCCGCGCCGGCCGGAAGCAACCGCGAGAGGCCGACAGACGAAGGCTTGGCCGACACGGCGACGGCGGCCAACGCCCGCGGTCGCGAGGAGCGCAGCTGCGCCTTGATTGCGGATGGCAGCATGGTTCAGCAGCAGCGGAGGCAGCGGAGGCAGCGGCGGCGGCGGCGGTGGAGGGCGGTGGAGGGCGGTGGAGGGCGGTGGAGGGCGGTGTCGATCTTGGCCTTTGTCGGTGGCAGCAGGGGGTGGCCGGGGGTCTGAGTCGGTGTGAGAAGCGGGCTTCGACGAGGTGAGAGGGGAGGGGGTTGAGATGGTGATGGTGGTGGTTGGCAGGAAGAGGGGGGCCGATGGTCGAGCTGTTGTAGAAGAAGACGGAGCAGCAGCAGCGGCACGAAGAAGGAGGCGGGGCCAAGGCGAGGTCGAGCCAAGCAAGCAAGCAAAGGCCATCATGGCCCGCAGAGGGACAGAGGGGCCCCGTTGCCGGCCTTGGCTCAATGGGTTCCCATAGCCGGGGCTCGACCGTTTACCCCGCACGCCCGCATCGCACGGCCGGCCTGCAGCCCACCCAGGCAGGCCTGGGCGCGCCCGGGCTGGGCTCGGCTGGCCTTCCCCGCGACCCGCACGCCCGCCCTTCGGCCCACCGGCCACCATCTTGGGCCGACCCGTGCTTCCGTTTCGCGTTTAACGGACGACGACACCCGCTCCCTTCCCCCCCTCCCGCCTTGGGCCCCGCTCTTGGTTTCCTCCCTCTGCTCGCTCGGTCCTCGGCCTGCCAGGATCAGGATGCAGACACAACCATCTTCGGCCAGCCCGATCCCGGATCTGCCTGCTGCGTACCGTACTGTAGCCCGTCCGTCCGTCCGTCCGTCTGTTCACCTCCCTTGCCTCTTTTTGCTAGCTGTGCCAACGGTGGGTCCGGGGCCGTAGCGACGATGACGATGACGATGACGATGACGATGACGATGACGGCCATGGCGATGGCGATGCGGGCAGAGGCAAACACCGAAGATCGACGACGGGCAGCCGATCGCGACCAGGGCGGGCACAGAGTACAGGTAAACGACAGACGGACGACCATGACAGGACCAGAGCAGAGCCCGAGCCCGTACTCAAGCCCGAGCAGAGAAGGACCTCGTCCTCGCAGAGAGACACCGATAGAGCGACAGATGGGATGGGATAGAGTACGAAGTAGAATAGATTGGGAGGGGGGCGGTCAGATCGGACCGGATCGAATCGGATCAGCAAGTCCCAATGGGCTGCACCAACGCTTCCTTTGACGCTGGCCAGGGGCGCCCCGACAGCCATCGAGCATGGCGCCGAGACCCTTTGATGGTACACGGGAGAGAGAGAGAGGGAGGGACGGGAAAAGGGGACCGAGAGAGGCAACAAGGACAGGCAGAGGCAAGAAGGAGAGACAGAGAGAGGAGAGACAGAGAGAGGAGGGAGAGAGAGACAGAGGGGAGAGAGAAAGACACACAGAGCGAGGCAAGAGCGCGCGCGAGGGACGCGGCAGAGGGGATCGACGCCCATCAAGGACGGCCGGGCGTACCCCCAACGGCAGGCGCTGCGGCCGACGACATCGACGGGCTCCTTGCCGAGCCCGGCGTGCCCACCGAGCCGGCGCCAGGCGGCGGAGAGCCCGCCGCGCCGCCATACACCCTGCTGTTGACATTGGCCCGATGCTGCCGGTTGCGCAGATGGATCTCAAAGTTGTTGAGCGATTCACCAGGACCAGGCGTGTAGAGCTGTGGCGGGGGGAAATGAGAGCAAGGGTTGGGGGGTACGCGCGAGGCACAGGTCAGCACACAGCCGAGCCGGTCGCAGCATGGTGGCCGCAACACGAGCGCCGAGGCGCCGTCATTCGGCAACACTCACCTTGCCGGGACAGTCGAGGCAGCGCACCCGCCACTCGGGCACCGCCGGCGTGGGCAGATGGGCGGGCACGGGACGCGGCTGGATCTCGAAACGATCGTTGGGGTATCTGGCGCGCAGCGTCGCCGCCGACTGCAGCAGCCACTCGGCCGGCGTCAGCGGCTGCCCCTTGACGCCAGTCGTGGGCACCTTGACGCTCGGCATCGACGACGGGCTCGCCGAGGCGGCCGCTGCAGCGGCAGGCGCCGAGGCCAAGCTGGTTGCGGCGTTCGGCGGCGCCGTCTTGGCCGGGTCGGACCCCTTGATCTCGCCCTGCTCTTCCAGCTCGCCCTCCTCGCCCCCGCCGCTCCGCTCGTCGCGGTGCTCGGCAGGCGGCTTGGCACCCGCTCGTTCTTGGTAGGCGTCGCGCGCCGACGACTTGCGCGTCGCCACAGGCTCCGGGCTCTCGGAGCGCGACGACGAGTCGCTGTCGTCTGGGCTGCCGACCAGCTCAAACGGCAGGTCGGGCGATGCGGCGCGCGGCGTGCGGGACCGCGAGCCCGTCTTCCGGACCACGCCCAGCGCGTTGTCGTTGCTGTTGCCGTCGCCGTCGCCGCCGCCCACAGAGGCATCGCCGAGATCGGCCCGGGGCGTGTCGCCCGCCGAGTTGGGCTCGGTCGAGTCGTCCTGGTCGCCGAGCGACGAGAGGAGCGCACTGTCGAGCAAGATGCTGGGCACGCTGGCCTTGCGCTGCGCCTGGCCGCTCTGCTGCTGCTTCATGTGGTGGGCAAGGTCACGCGTGTAGTCGAGCATGATGACCTTTCGGTGGCGGTGGTAGTACTTGCCGCACGGTCCGCACAGCGACTTGTCGCCCAGCGGGCCCTTGCGGCGTCCGGGAGCCAGCGTTCCCGGGATGCCGCAGTTGGAGCAATGCCACATGCCGTCGTGGATGTTGGGGTGCTGGCGCTCGAGATCCTCGGGCCGCACATTGTT